TCTCTATCTCCCCCCCCTCCTCTCTGGAAAAAATCAATAAAAAATATTTAAAAAAAAAAAAAAAAAGAAACTGAAGAGGCAAGGCACAGACTAGGTTACCGTGGTCAGCAAACTGCGGCTCGCGAGCCACATGTGGCTCTTTGGCCCCTTGAGTGTGGCTCTTCCTAAGCCTTAGGAGAACCCTAATTAAGTTAATAACAATGTACCTACCTATATAGTTTAAGTTTAAAAAATGTGGCTCTCAAAAGAAATGTCAATCATTGTTCTGTTGATATTTGGCTCTGTTGACTAATGAGTTTGCCGACCACTGGACTAAGAGGATATATTCATGATGCCCAACAAAGATTCATATCCAGAAAATATAAAGCATTCCTAGAAATCATAGAAAATAGATAGATGAGCCCACTAAAAAACCAGATTACTTGAATAATCATTTCACAAAAAGTTAACCAAATGGCTAATTAGTTATTAAAGGAGTCAACATTATTATTCATTAGGGGAATACAAACGAAAAGCACTCGGAAATACTGCTACACTTACCAAGAATTGAGACTGCTAATGCCAACTATTGGCAAGGAAGGATGTGAAGAAACTAACTTTCATAAATTAATTTAACCTTTTGGGGGAGCTGATATACAGTGTCTATTAAAATAAAACATCCATCTATTCTTTGACACAGCAATTCTGCTCGTAGGTATATATCCAACAGAATTGAGTACATTTATTCACCAAAAGACTATATTAATGTTCATAGCCAAAAACTAAAAAACAACCAAAATGCCCATCAATGGTAGAATGGACAAATGAATTGTAGTATATTCATACAACAGAATACTACCCATCAATAAACAAACTACTGATATAAGCAATGCCATAGATGAACCTTACAGACATGTTGGGTGAAAGAAACCACAGAAAATAGCAACCGCTTGATAGCGAACAGGCAACCTTGCTATACAGTAGGAGTCAGACAGTGGTTACCTCTGGGGGCCAAGTTTTAAGTGGGAAGGAGCAGGTGGAACCCTGGGGTTAGAGAAATGTCTTATATCTTGATCTGGGAGCTGATTACCAGTACATGTGTATATATACATAAAAGTTCACCCAGCTACCCTCTTTTTAAAAAAAAAAAATTTTTTTTTATTGATTTCAGAGAGGAAGGGACAGGGAGAGAAACATCAATGATGAGAGAATCATGGATCAGCTGCCTCCTGCACGCCCCCTACTGGGGATCCAGCTCACAACCCGGGCATGTGCCCTTGACCAGAATAGAACCCGGGACCCTTCAGTCCACAGGCCTAAGCTCTATTCACTGAGCCACACCGACGAGGGCCCACAGCTACCCTCTTAAAACCTGTGCAGTTTAATTATGTGTAAGTTATACCTCAATTAGAAAAAAGGCAAGGGAGATGAAGGAATGAAGAAAAGAAAGAAAATGGAGAAGAGAGGAAGTAAGGAAAGAAGAGAGGGAGGGACATAAAAGAGAAATGAACATGAACAGGGGGTGGGGAGCCTCAGGAAGGTATTGGGCCTGAGCTGTCCAATGCGTCTTAAAGATGGGAACACTCCAAGGCTGGCCGCTGTGCTCAGGGTCACAGAGCGGCGTGTGGCCCGAGCAGAGGCTGGAACCCACGTGTGTTCGATGCCAAAGCCTTAGCTTTTCCACCGATTTGCTCGAAAGTCACCTCTTCCTGGAAAGGTGACCCGAGAACCGCCTCCCGCCCCGAACTGGTTCTTCCTCCGGGGAAGGATGCCCATCTCATCACCAGACCTCCACTGGGCCGACCCCGCCTCCCACCCACAGCTGGGAGCCTCCGAAGAGGGTAGAGATGCGTCCGTTCATTTCCAGTGGTTCTCACAACCTTCTGGCCCTTTAAATACACTTCCTCATGTTGTGACCCAACCATAAAATTATTTTCGTTGCTACTTCATAACTGTAATGTTGCTACTGTTATGAATCGTCATATAAATATCTGATATGCAGGATGGTCTTAGGCGACCTCTGTGAAAGGGTCGTTCCACCGCCAAAGGGGTCGCGACCCACAGGTTGAGAACCGCTGATAGACTTTCCTCCGGGGCTGAGCGGAGGCGGCACTACCATTTGCCCCGCAGGACCAGGAGCCACCACCGGAAGCTCGGTTCAAGTCGGTCCTTGAGCTTGCCCTACGATCACGCAGGCCGCGGGGGGCGCTGCTCCCGAGAGGGGAACATTAGGAGGGGAGCGATGGGTCGCGACCCACAGGTTGAGAACCGCTGATAGACTTTCCTCCGGGGCTGAGCGGAGGCGGCACTACCATTTGCCCCGCAGGACCAGGAGCCACCACCGGAAGCTCGGTTCAAGTCGGTCCTTGAGCTTGCCCTACGATCACGCAGGCCGCGGGGGGCGCTGCTCCCGAGAGGGGAACATTAGGAGGGGAGCGATGACGCAGCCAACAACCTGCCCCGCCTACCGGGCGAAAA